AGCGTCGGGGAAGGTTCTTGTTGAGCACAAGGAGCATGAGGTGACCCCGCTCGGTAAAGCACTGGAAAGTGCCAAGGTAAACAGATCGCCCTCGTCCTCCTTTCTCTGGATATTGCATTTGAATCTCAAGTATGTAGGCAGGGAATAAATCTAAAATGCCTTCTACAAAAGAGAGAGAGAGAAAACATAGCATTAATTTCTTCTTGGGATCCTTTGTTTGATAGGATGAAATTCACAAAAACATGTACAAATTGGAAAAGCAGATTATTGAGATGGAAAATTTTGCAAGTCACTTGGAGGAGGTTTTCATCACGGTGGAGGTAAGAGCACGCTTGATGACCCAGTCAGATACACATTGCTTCCATCAGCTGTGTCTGGTACGAGTTAGGGAATCTGTTTTCTTGGAACATATGGTGTCAGTACTGCTCCTCTTCCCTCACCCCTCTTTCTGCCCTCCCGTAGCACAGTGGGCATGCACCTGTGGAAATGATTACCTGGCAGCATTCCCTACTGAACTATTAGCTCTCATGGGCTGGGTCTTCGGTGTCTTTATAGCTCCGGTCCTACTACAAGGTAGGACTCTTTCATGGGCCAGCCTGATAAGGCATTGCAAGACACCCATCCTGTCATTGATAAGTGTTCCTCAGCTGTTACCTATTTCTCATAAGATCAATAAGTTTCTGTGCCTGTCACCAAACATGTCACTGTCCCCTGGGTGTGCCTAGTAGGTGTGAAGTCCACTGCTGTGATGTCAGCATGCAACCTAGCCATCCAGATGAGGTAGCCCAGAAATAAGGACCAGAGGACTTCCTGTGTCCCCTCTCTTCATGTGGATGCTCTCCTTCTATTAATGCAGCCTCAGATTGTATCCACAGGAGCAACTCATATGAATGAACTAAGCCCTGGGCCCCCTTCCCATGAAGCTAGATTTTCCTCACCACCCCCAATCTTAAAAGGGAGGGCAGCTATTCCACTAATTCCTTATGGAAGGCACAGAGAAGGGACAAGAAGCCCTTCCACATCTAAGCATAGGGTGGTGGGTGGTAGGAGGGCAAGTATACAACAGCCAGGACAGAACCCCCTACCCTCTGTACTGCCAGCTCACTCTCAGATCAGAGCAGCTTCACCCTCAGTGAGGACTCTAAGCTCTTCCTTTTACACTCAACACTGGTGGGGGTCACCTACTGCTTTTCCCTCTCTTCCACCATTCTGAGCAAGTCTCAGAATGTGTACACAGTAGGTGCTCAGTAAATACTCCCGGAATGATTGATAAGAGCCTCTTCTTTGGAAATGTCTCTGTTATCTAATAAGGATGGTATAAATCAGAACCCACAGAGCTCTCCTGGGCTTCCAATCTAATTTAGGGGGACCAGGATTTGATATGCTTTAATTAATGTTTCTCATTCACTGCGTTCCAGGATTAAGTACTGGCACAACACTCTCTCTGCCTTCCTGCCTTTTCTCATCTATTAGGCAGCACCACCCGGCTTGTTCCCCTTCCCCTGCACCTTCTTCTTAGTTGATATGAGAATCTGGGTGATTCTGATGTTTGTATAGTCCAAGCATCAGGGAGTGGAGGTGAGTGTTAAGAGATGTTGAGAGCTCAGGAGGGAAAGATAGGTGGGATTCTCCCAGGGCAGACATCTGCATGTTAAGGCCCAAAGTTCCAGTGGCAGTCTGACTCATCACTGGCAATCTTCCTGGTCGGTTGTCATGGTGATGGGAGGTGGCTAAAACAGAAGTGGGTGGGGTATGGGGAAGAGGATTGCAAAATGCGGCCAGCAGAGAAAGCAGTAATTCTTGTTAAGATTATTGCTGGGGTTCTAGCTGGAGACTCCTGGTCCTAGCTACCCTTTTGTCCACCTCAGCACCCTGGCAAGCGATGCTAAGACAACAGGGAGGGAGTAAAACATCTCTGGATAGATACATTTTCATGCCCCAAATAACTCTGTAGTCAACATATGTGCAGTGAAATGATGGCTGAGATCAACTATATCTTGCAGGAGAATTTTGGAAGACAAGAAAAAAACTTTGAGTCACATTACAATGAGATCTTGGAAACACTTGCTCAAAAATATGAAGAAAAAATACAAGCTCTAGGGGAGAAAAAGAAAGAGAAGTTGGAAGCCTTGTATGGACAGCTGGTCAGCTGTGGAGAAAATCTTGAAACCTGCAAAGAACTGATGGAAACAATAGAGGAGATGTGTCATGAAGAGAAAGTTGATTTCATTAAGGTCAGTAATGAAGTGAAATGAAATAATGAACTGAAATGACAATTATGATTAGAGTAGGTTAGACTGTCCTCTCTCTGCCTGGAGATGTTGGAACCAACTTTCACGGTCAGCATCCATTTGATTCCACTGGATGTATCACCATGATGATACATCCTTCGTCTCTCTGCACAGCTTCGCCATGAGTGGCTGAGCAGGCTCATACACAGCTGACCCTTCCCTCCACCATTGCTCAGCTAACACCAGAGTCTTTGTTCCTCTGTCCTGGTTACCCAGAGATCTGTGCCCTCACCGTGAAGTGGGGCAAAAACAGTGCTTTGAGGGGACTTCTCTGGCGGTCCAGTGGTTAAGACTCCGCCTTCCAATGCAGGGGGCACGGGTTCGATCCCTGGTTGGGGAACTAAGATCCCACATGCCGCAGCCAAAAATTAAAACAAACAAAAACAAAAAACAAGACAAACAAAAAACAGTGCTCTGAGACTTTTCTGGCCGTCTCAGACAGCCTCCTGGAGGTCTGGGGAGAAAGATCTCCAGGCTAAAAAGGCACCTCCTGTCTCCCAGTCACAAGTGCAGCCATTATACATCTCACTTCATAAGCTCAGACATGCAGAAAAAAAAAATCCATCTCTTGATACCCTTGAAATCCACTTCAATTTGACCCCAAGTCCCCATGTAGCCAGACTGTGGGAATTTCAAGCTCAGAGCTGGGGTCTCCTTTCTTTACAAGGTCCCACAGGAATATGGGGCAGCAGTGGGGTCCAGTATGTGAGGGAGGGGCCCTCAGCCTCCAGAGCTTCCTAGTTACCAAATACAGCCTTTACATTGGCCACACCACAGTGGTCCCTCCAAGCCCAAAGCGCCTCCTTCCTGCCGTGCTTGGGGTGGCCAGGGAGCCGTGACCCAAGCTGGACAGCAGGTGGGCAGGCACCATCAGAGCCCTCAGTACTACTCAGACCTTTTGAACCAATGGTTCCTCAATATCACTGTAGCTTAGTGACATAATCCAGAATGTGGAGAAAATGATATATGTGAAGACATCTTCTCTGTTATTTATGATGGTGAGAAATTGGAAACAACCAAAATGTCCAACAGTAGAGTGAATGATGGAGTTTCTATTCAATGAACTGTTACACAGTCTTTGAAATTGATGATCCAGAAGACCATTTGTAACCTGGAAAGTGCTCACATAATGTCAATGGGAAGAAACTATACAGGTGTCATAAGAGTCATTTTTGTTAGGGCATGGGACATGGCTGATTTTTCTCTTTTACTCATTTCCAAGTTTTAACATATGATTATATAGTTTGAAAAAGAAATTTGTTTTTTGAAAAAGAAATTTATTTCCAAATTCAATTCAATATTTTTTCTTTCTCCTCCTTTTCAGGATGCTGTGGCTATGGCTGACAGGTAATACTTTTGTTCTGACATGTATTTTCTTTTTCTGTTCCTTTTACCTCTAGATATCCAACTAGATATCAGTTCCACTTGGTTATATGCTCCCAGTTTCAGCTTTTGTGTCTGCCCCTACGAGTAAATAGCACTGGCTTTGGAAGGACAGTATGGGATCACAAGGACCCTCTAGTACCAAATCTTAGAATCTCAGAGCTGGAAGGGAGCATATGATGAGGCCTAACCTGCAAACCCAGGGTCAGATTTCCTCTCTGAGCCCCTCCTTTCAGCAGG